TTGTGCGTTGTGCGAGTGCGCGCTGCAGTTGGCGGGCCGCACAGAAGCACCCTGGTTGCCTGTGTTGTTGTGTAGGCGTGTGTTAAACTTACCGCTACTGCTGCTGCACTGTGGTTCTGCATGTGCCTTGTGTCCTTAGGTCCTTGAGTAAAGATGAAAGGCAACGTGTTGATGTGACATGATTTGACACACAATGCACAGAAAGCTCAGAATGCTAGAATGGGACACCACAACAATACCTGACAAAGCTCGACAGCTCGAGCTTTGGCTTTTGTGCAAAGGCAGTGGCGTACCTCCAACCGAAAGACAGGTGGTAAAATGTTGGTAAAGGGGGCGTGGCTGTGAATGGCGCGTTGACGATAATCTGTCAATGCCGCTCCCGCTTGCCGCTTTGTAATTGGCAAACTTTCGACAGATGGGCGTGTCTTCTGTCTTGTCGCAGGTGATTGGTTAAATGGGGGAAGAAACTTTGCTGAGAAAACCCCAGCAGCCAGCCAGTGTGTGTGTGTGTGTGTTTTGTTTGTTTGTTTGTTGTTGTTGTTGTTGTTGTTGTTGTTGTTGTTGTTGTTGTTGTTGTTGTTGTTGTTGTTGTTGTTGTTGTTGTTGTCGGAGAAAAGAGGCCGTTGTCATTTCTCCCTCACCACCAACACCAACACCACCCCAGACACACACACATACACACACACCACCACCACCGCTGTGGTGGTGGTGGCAACACATCGCGGGCCTCCCAAAAGTGCTTTCAGCACTGATTAAGGTAAGACACACGCACACAACCCCCCCCCCCACCACCACACACATGTACATTCGGTCACATGCACATGTACTAAGCCCCCCACACCCTCACACTTTTTTTTCTCTCTCTTAGGTACCAGTCAGTCCCGGAAGTGGACGGCTGACACTCACTTTTTTCCCCTCCTTTTTTTGTTTTGGTGAGTTGGTATGGTGCCATTTTTGGCGTCCCAACCAACGAGCCATCCTCGCCTCGGCGAGGAAGGTAAGCACCTTGCTACCTTGCAACAACACCAACTCCTCTCACTCAAATGATCACACACACACACACACACATGCACATGCTTGCACCCACACTTACTCACAGACACACCACGCATGCACATTGGTTCCTCGTTTCTTCGTTTCTACTTGGACTCTGGATTTGCCGACCGCCACCCTCGCCGACTGCACCTGATCGTGCCCTTCACGCTGCCTCTTGTCTCTTCCCCTGTCGTCTCTGTCTGCTTGTCTCTCTTTCTCTTATGCTGCTGCTGCTGCTGCTGCTGCTGCTGCTGCTCTCGTGCTTGTCTGTCCCTTTTCTCTTCTTTTGGCGGCTGTTCGTGGGCCAACAAAAATTTGATTCGATGCACAAAGGAGTGCCCGTCTTGTTGTTGTTGTGGTGTGCTTGCTTCTTGTGTGTTTTTTTTTGTGTGTCGTGCACTCTGACGGCAACAACGATCATCGCGGTCGTCAGAAAAAAAAAAACGTTCGTTCCTCTTCCTCCTTCGATCTTCGTGCTTTTTCTTTGTTTGCACGCAAACACCATACAAAGCGTGCTCCTTCTTGCTTGCTTGCTTGCTGACGACAAAAATAGACGGTGCTAATAAACTGCTGACTCATCAAAAAGCGGAGAAAGCAAACGCGGCAAGGAAGAAGGAAGAGTAGTTTGACGCACGCAAATGCACGAATGCACACACAGCAGTACACGGACATGCACACGAATCAGTGCTGCTGTTGTGCGAGGCTGCGAGCACAGGAGATGAGGTGCCTGCCGCGGACGTGGAGGTCGTCTGCATCGTGAAAGTGCGGCCACTGCCGCAGCGCAGCCATGCCGGCCTCCTGAAACACCTGCGCAATCTCAGCATGCGAAAACCCTTCCGCACACACACAATAACACACACACCATGCACGTGAGGACACGAACACGGCGCTTGAAAGGACTTATAGAGATGGGAAACGGGGAGGGACAGGGACAGGGAGACAGGGAGAAGCAGGGAGAGGCAGGGAGAGGTAGGGAGAGATACAGAGACAGAAGGACACACACGCTCGCTCACACTCACACACACACACAGGCACACACAGACTCACACACACAGACACAGACTCACACACACGCGCGCGCGCTCTCTCACACACACATCACACACACACACACGGAGCGCATGCGCTCCTGGGCTGGTCAGATGCTCACCTGCAGTCATGTCAACGAGATCATCTCGAAGCTCAAACGTGTCATCCTAGGTCAAACACAGCAATGCAAAAAGCAGTGCAACAAAAGCAACGGCGTGACACATGCGCACCGTGCAAAGGGTTTGGCATAAGCGCACATGTGCATGAATGTGCACCGAGGACATGGTAGAGGCACGGTGAAGATATGGTGGCAGTGGTGCACATTCCGCATGCCACACACACACACACACACACACACACACACACACACGCACATACACACACATACACATATACACACACGCAATCACACATACACACACGCACACACATACACGCACATACACACACATACACACACACACGCAATCACACCTCAAGCTGGAGTGGGGTGTTCCAGATCAATTCATCGAGCATTTCTCGACGCTCCTCTGCTGTCGGAATAGTTGTCCGCACCAGCGTCTCCACACGACCAGGCCGCAGCACTGCATTCACACCCAAAACACCCGTCGTGGTGGTGGTGGTGGTGTGTGGCATGAGTAAGGGTTCAAGGAGGAAGCGCTCGCGTGCACGCACGTGTGTGCCCGTGTGTGCCCGTGTGTGCACGTGTGTCAGTAGAGTAGTTTGGTGGCGGTCATGATTGCACATTGCCAATGGAAGCACATTCCTCACAAATCAAATCGCTGCACACAATACACACAATACACACACATGCACACAACAACCACTCGTGCTCACCAACTGGATCGATGGAGTTGACGTCCTGCGTCGTTGCCAGCACATACACACCGCCACCGCTGCTCGCCCACGCGTCAGCATTTGCCTGGCACAGAACCATTGGCGCACGCGGAAAAACAAAAAAAACAAAGTGAGGATGGTGGTAGCGGCTGCGCAAGACGTGGTTGCCAAACTCTGCGAGACATCGACACGCACGCTGACAGAAGTACAATGGCCACCGTGCAAGGAGAGGAGGGGAGGAACAAGCCAGTCAACAATGAAAGCAGCAACAAGAAATAGCAGTAGCTTGGTGGGTGGGAGGGGGATCTCACGTGCACAGCGTCAAGTTCACGAACGAACGCCGCCGTCAGCCGCTGGCTTGCCCGATCGTCCTCGCTCTGAGCAGATGAGGACATGGCACGATAACAGGCGTGAAAGTGCGGGTGAGAGGGGTGTGTGGGGCAACGGGTGCAGGGAGTGAGGGAGTCAGGCAGGCAGTGGGAGTGAGAGGGGACAAGGGGGTTGAGAGAGGGGGGGGTTGAGAGAGAGAGAAAATAAGATAGCGAGATAAAGACAGAAGCAATCAAATTCACACACACACACACACACACACACACACACACACACACACACACACACACCACCACCCTGAATGAATAGTCTATGATGACGAGTGCGTACGCTGTTGTGGGGATTTTCTTGGCAATAAAGCACATTATAACGGATCAAGACCCGTTGCGTACAGTAGTCCCAGAATGTGAGGCCTCAGACTGCTTTGACAGCATCAACCTGATTAAATTGTTGCATCGCATTTTGTGAGAAGTGGCAGTTTGGGTGCCGCATAAAGACTTCCTCCACAGACAGTACTTAGCTGCTGGAAGTTTTTACATCCCTATAACGATTTTTTGTAAGATGCGCAGCCACGTGGTCGATTACTGCATCAGAAATTGCAGAGATAGAAGACGAATACAATACTACACACACACACACACACACACACACACACACACACACACACACACACACACCACTCCCCCGCCTTCTCACGTGTTTGCCGCAGATGGACTCGAGCTGGTCGACGAGAAGAACACACGGGCGGCAGTTGGCGGCGTCGCGGAACACCTGACGACAAAGCGATGCAATCAGTCAAGGTTGTCGAGAGGATAAGTGTGCGTGTGTGTGTGTGTGTGTGTGATTTTGTGTGTCTTGTGGGCAGCACAGCCATCCGGCATCCCCCGCCCTCACCCTCGCATTGCTTCACAACCCCAAACCTTGGCCACGGCAGCTTCGCTCTCGCCAACAATCTTGGAGCGGATGTTGGAGCCGAGCACGTGGATCACATTCAGGCCCGCGGCGGCTGCTGTTGCCAGACAAAGGCTCGTCTTGCCCGTGCCGCTTGGCCCATGCAACAGGATGCCGTGTGATGGGCGGACACTCGCATGCGCTGTCCCTCGTCGCAATGGCACCGACACCGGCGCTGGCGCTGGCACGGGCGCTGCTGTTGACGTTGGGTGTACTGCATCGCAAGGAGCCGTGCCACACGCCTGCGCTTCGGCGTCTCCCCGGTGCATCTGCTGTGCATCGCGCGAGGCGAAAGGCGCGTCGTCATCACAGCCATCCGCTGCGCTCGCCATGGCGGCGGCCAGCGGTGTGAGGAAGTACTGCCACAGCTGCCGCTTCACCGCACAGCACCCTGCAACGCACAGAGAGAGAGAGAGAGAGAGAGAGAGAGACAGAGAGAGAGAGACAGAGAGAGAGAGAGAGAGAGACAGAGAGAGAGAGAGAGAGGGCGGGGAGAGGTGTGCATGTGTGTGCATGTATGTGTGCATGTATGTGTGCATGTATGTGTGCATGCATGTGCGTGTGTGTGTGTGTGCGTGTGTGTGAAAGTGGTTGCGTTGGTCAGTCGAGGTGCACTTGTCAGGGTACGCAGTTTGATGACTTGACAAGGTCAGTGTCCAACACTTTGGACAGTGATGAGACAACATGCAGGTCAGCAGCCAACCACACATGCACGCACACACATGTACAAGCACACACACATACATGCACGCATACACACACATACCGCAAAGGTCAGCCAGGGAGAGGTGGGTGCCAGATGGAACTGTGGACGATGGAAGCGTTCCTCGAAACTTGTGCAGCCAAACAGCCAGCTCCCTCACCCCTGCACAGCGGCCGTATTTGTCGTAGATGCGGCTGTTGCGGGTGAGTGCCTGCTGCAGAAACGCCTGTATATCGCCCGCTTTGAACCCGTGCCCGCGCGCTTCTATCAACCGCGCTAGATCTAGATACACGTGGACGGACATTGGAGAAGGAGACAGAGTGAGGGGAGTCGTTGGTTGGCGATGACAACGGGGAGGTGGTGTGAGGTGGTGCGGGAGCATGGACGAGCGTGATTCAAGCAATGTGTGGCTCCAATAGGCACCAAGCAGCAGAAGATGCAGCAGCAACACCAGTGGCTGCGAAGAGAATGCAAAGCAATACGAGGCATGCGTGGCTTCTGCGATCAACACAAGCACCAGCCAACCTTGCGAAAAGCGCTGCCATGTATCTGTCGCTGATTTGCGATGAGACAGCGGTCTGTCCGCGCGTGCCTCGACTTTCTTCCCGTCGCAATCCCCCTGTTCTTGCTGCTGCTGTCCCTTGTTATCGTGCGTGTCACCATCCCCACCACCATGCGTGTCCCTCGTGCTGGGTCGCTTCTGAAGAAACATCTCCACAATCTCCCGGCGTACGCGCGCCGTTGGTGCAGACAGTTCAATGCACGTGTGGAAGAATTGTCCAAACCGCTGAAGCCGCTCGTCAAGCTGATCGGGCTTGCTTGTCACGGCTTTTGGCGTGTGTTTGCGTGTGTGTGTGTATGTTTGCGTGTGTGTGTGTGTGTATGTTTGCGTGTGTGATGAAAAGGCAGCAGAAAACATAATCGTTGCAATCACACACACACACATACAACAACAACAGTGACTGACGTGCTCCTCCCTGTATGCTCCCCTCTTGACAGCACACAACAGTAGCAACAGCAGCAACACACCAACAATGTAGGTGTTGTGGCGTGCCGTCCTCTGTGTAAACTTTCGAAGGGCGTCCAGGAAGTGTGCTTTCACATGCGATTCAACGATACTGTTTGTTTGTTGTTTGGTGTTTGTTTGTTGTTGTTCATGTGCCGTGAGGTGGCCACGGACGTGAGCACATGAGATGAGGAAAGCAGTGGCGTGTACACGCAGAGTGCTCTGGAACAGCTGTGAACTGACCTGCGAAAGGTTTTGGCGCCCACCATCTCAAAGTTGTCCAGAATCCACACAAACCGAGCTTGCTTACCGCGCTCAACCTGCAATACACCCAGCATCAAAAATATCAGACGCTTCCATCGCACCAGCGAGTGAGAAGAATCCCCGCAAGCACCACACACACAAACACACACACATGAACACACACGAACACACATGAACACACACACACACACAGAATCAAGCACAAACACAAACAAAAAAACCGCATACGCACGGCGCGCTTGAAACGGCGATTGATCGCTGCAAACTGATCCGAGGCCGTGAAAAACGCATCGGCGCTTGTCTCCTCAAATGCCACGCCTGAACAACCGTCACGGAAAAAAAAATGAGAAAGGAGAGGAGAGGCTAGAGAAGCCACATCACACAACATGACAATGTGAGAGGACATGACAAGCAAGCAGTGCTCTTCTTTTCTCTGCATTGCACGTGTCTGCATCCACATATACCGTTCGTGGTCATGAAGTGTCGCAGCCACGTGGTCTTCCCTGTTCCAGAAGCACCCGTGACCAGGATGCACCGGTCATCGTCGGTCCAAGCATCACCTGTGCCAGTGCGAGGGCGCATCCGCAGCGCCGTTTGCAGCTGTTGGCTCACAACCGCTGTTCCAGGCAGCATGTTTTGCAAACACAAGTGTAGAAAAATGTTCCGAGATTTAGCTGAATAATCATGGTCCGACTGAATTCAGTTCGTGTATGTCTGCTCTGTGTGTGTCTGCTCTGTGTGTGTGTGTGTGTGTGTGTGTGTGTGTGTGTGTGTGTGTGTGTGTGTGTGTGTGTGTGTGTGTGTGTGTGTGTCTCTCTCTCTCTCTCTCTCTCTCTCTCTCTCTCTCTCTCTCTCTCTCTCTCTCTCCCTTCTTCCGCAATGTTGCTGTTACGACTGATCTTGTATGTTGTATGTTGTCTGCTGTTGCGGTGTGAGACACGCAAAATTGTAACAAAAGAGAACTGAACATCGCAGGCAACGTCGACACAATGAGGAGCGTGCAAACACCACCCCCCCCCCCATACACAAACACATGAAAGCAAAATAAAATAAAAGAGACGCACACATACACCTCACGCACACACATACACAAATACACAAAACACACATTCACACGTACACACATACAACCATACTCACATGCACACATACTCACAACAAACAACACAATACAAGACCAATCCCTCCATCCCATCAGGTTCATGCATGGTTATGTGCGCTGCATGACCACGACCCAGCCCAAGTGGAAGTAGTAACTTGACTGCACATTCGGGCCTGCATTGGTCACGAGCGAGTTGAGCCCGCGCACGTCCCTGGCATTGTGCATGTCAAAGAGAATGACCCGGAAGTCAGCGTTGCTTGCCAGCCCTCGCATGGCAACCGGGTGCGCCGTGTACGACGCCACGACGCTGGCGTGCTCAATGCCGTCGGTAACGGTGTCCACGCTTGCGTCACGTGCTGGCTTCTCGCCGAGCGTGACCACCTGCGCACCAGCGGGCAATGCGCCCAGGTGAAGCTGCATAAACCGCAGCACGGTCGCCAGGGGTGCAGACGGCCGCGCGCACGCGTGGACAGCAACGTGAGGAAGCGCCGCCTCAAGCTGCTCAAAGCCCTCCACCGTCAGCGGTTGGCCAGCCTCCTTCAGACACACCCGACACAGCACGCGGTGGGGGCGGGGCGATGTGCTTGGCGGCGCACACAGCATGCGGGGCTCAACCAGCTCCAGCTTCAGCAGTGGCATGAGATCGGAATGCAACACCGTGCGAAGCGCATCCCGCAACCGCTCCAGCAAGTCACCTGCGTTGCCCCCAACGGCAGCGACGAGCTCAGCTGTCGGGATGGCAGGAACGGTGACAGGAAACATCGCACCGTCTGCACCGTCATCGCGTGCCGGTGCACCATCGTTGCTTGAGGGAGGAGGGACGGTCACCTCAAACCTGCGCTCGTGCGTCGGCTTCTGCGCATCCGCCTGCGCCTCCTCCAGCAGGGCGCTGCAGCCGCCCTCAGCCAGCTGCTTCTTCATCACCAAGAAGCGACAGTACTTGACAAACAGCAGATCCCGCGCGTACATCCGCTCGTTGAACCGGATGTCCTCAAACAGCAGATCGCCCGGCTCGTAGTGCACGTCGCGTGTCAGGTCCACGTTCAGCAGCTGGAAGGAGTACACGTGCGACCGCTTGTACGCGCTCTGCATGTTGCGCAAGAATGGATGCCAGCGCGAAATGCCCATCAGCGCGTACCTGTGCAGCTCAGGGTCGCTCAGCATGTGCTGCAGCACGTGCAGCAGCGGCACGTCCTCCATGGTGAACTCACTGCGGCTCTCACGGTTCGCCCAGTCCCACCTCCACTCTCGCTGGTGATCGTCGCTCGCACCGCCATGCTGGGCGCCGTCCACAACATCAACATCATCAGCAGTGTGAAAGTCGCAGGGATCCTGCTTCACGACGGCACGCTTGAACACCAAGCACGAGTCGTCCAGCATGAGGATGAGGCTCGCAACCCGCCCCAGCCTCACACCGCCAGCAAGCGCTGCGTGGCGGGTCAGGTCGAGGTTGAGCGTGGCAAACCGCTTGATGAAGTCGCGGCTCGCACCAATGCCCTTGTCAGGGCTGCTTGCAGCCTCTGGCAGCGCACACACCACCACGTCGGGGTAGTGCTTGCAATAGGCGTCAAACTCGCCCTGTTTCACCACAATCACCTGCAGCGCACTAACACCACCGTCGCCACCGCCGTTGTTGTCACTGCTGCTTGTGCTGCTGTTCCCGCTGCTATTGCTCTGACGACTGCGGAGTGTTCTGCTGAGGTCGAGGAGGCCGATGGCGGCACGCCCACTCGATGGCATAAACACGACGGGCATGTCAAGGTCCTCAACACGAATGCGCTCAAACGCAGCAGCGGTGCCGTTGTTGTCACGGCTGGTGAGCCCTTGGAACAGGCCCGCCTTGGCTGCGGGAATGTGCCATCGGCTGCCCAGCGTCCTCTCACGGTTGATCTCGTTGTCGCTGTTCACGCTCAGCTCAGCCACGACCGGCGGCGCAAACTCGGCCACGACAGCGCTGTCGCCTGCTGCCGCCTGAGCTGACGGCGGCTGTGGTCGCGCCATGAGCGCATACTCGCTGCTCACAGTCTTGCGCACCACGAGTCGTGACCGGTTCCCGGGTGCACCATCCACAACAACGTCGCCATTGTCGCCGTGTGCCGCTGCCTCTGCTGCTGCCAGCCGCGCTGCGTGCACACGCTGGTCCATGATGATGGCGCCATACTTGCCGGGCTGTGGCGCCACAAAGGGCAGGGATTGCACCACCGTGTGCACAGGCAGCACGCCGCGGTGGTTTTGCTGCTGCTGCTCATCCTCGTCCATAGCAGGGAACCGCTCGTTTCCTTCATCATCAAAGTCGTCGTCGTCACAGCACACCACCACCTCCTCCGTCTCCACGGGTGCTGCTGTTGTGTTGAGGTGCTCAGCGAGCAGCTTGAGCGCCCACAGGTACGCGCCCGTCTTCCCCACCTGCGGCTTGCCCTGCAGGAGGAAGCGGCGTGGGTCTGCACCCCGGCGGTTGCCTTCGTCGTAGTTCTTGCTTGTTGGGCGAGCAAACCTGCGGTAGTAGCGCGCGTCACGCTGGGTCAGCGTCTCGTTCGGTTTTGGCCGGGGCAGTTGCACATCGCCACGCTCACGCGCCATGCGCACCTGGAAGTACCAAGTCAAGGGAGAGTGAGAAGTGAGACAGATGGTGAGTGAGAAGAAGTCATGTTTGTCCATGCAAGATGAAGGCGGGATGGAAGCAGTAGGGAACACATAATTGATCACGCGCGCACGCACACACACATACATTCACGCGCGCGCACTCACACATGATCACACACACGCACACACTCACACACGCGCACTCACACATGATCACACACATTCACAGGATCACACGCACACACCTTGGCGTCAGGGGAGAGGTGTGTGAGGCTTCGCTGGAGGCACTCGTGTGCCGTTGGCGGCAACAGACATAGGGGAAGCTCGTCCAGACTGCGCGCGTACCGGAACATGCGTCCGAGATCCTGTTCCATGTAGGAGCGCGTGGAGGAGCTACCGTACCGCAGGCGGAGGTCGTAGTACTGCAGCGACTTGGGGAAGGTGTCGCCCATGCGGCCCTTGTCGCAGAGCACAAGGATGCATGGGAGGTGCTCCAGCTGCTCATAGCTGGCAATGTCGCTTGCGCCCGTCATCTGTTGCAGCCGCGAGAGGCACTCGGAGCTGCGCTCATCAAGTTCAAGCACGCGTCGCAGTGGGTCGGCGCTGGTGTCCTGCAGTACCGCAAACCGCTTGTCAAGGCCAAGCTTGGCGCGAAGCTCTCTTAGCCGCTCCGTCAACACGCGGCCCATTCGGTTGTTGACAACGCGGATGAGGAGCATGTGTCCATGGCCGTTGGTGCTGGTCGTCGCCCTGAGGAAGCGGGTGATCATGTTGTGCGTCACTTTCGTTGTGCGGCTCTCCAGCTGCTCTCTGTTGGGGATGTGGTTGCGCGCGAGGTCGTTGAGGGCCAGGAGAAAGGCCGCCTCGTAGCACTCGAAGAACGTGGCAATCAGCTGTTCGCGCGCGGTTTTGCTGCGACGCCCAACGTAGTCGGACACCATGTCCGCAAATGGCGCATCCACAATGATTCGCTGCCGGTCCGACGTGTCCTCCAGATGTGCCTGCAGGTCAAGCAGTCCAAAGTATCGCGGCCCGTGGTTCTCTGTTGTGTGTGCGTGTGTGTGTGTGTTTGTGTTCGTGTGAGTGTGTGGGCGTATTTGTGTGTGTGTGGTTGATCAATTGGTGAGAACTGAAACTGATTGACAAGCTGCTGCAATCACACCTACAGGGATAGACACACGCACACACACACACACACACACAATTACACACACAAATACACATACCAACACAAACAAATACGCACACACGCACACACACACACACAACACATTCTCACCAGACGACTCTTCGCTGCCGCGCGTGACGGCATCCCAGTGGATCTCGTTTGCAAAGTGAATCCTGGAGATCTGGGTCTGCAAGGCATAGGGCGTGGCTGTGACCAGCAAGCGGACAAGGTTGGGCGCATCCTTAACCCTGTCGTTTCTGGGTTGGTTGAGGAACAGGTCAGCAACACCACTCGGGCTGTCGTCAGCGGGGGACTTGTCGATGGCCCAGTGCGCTTCGTCGTGCAGCACCACAAACAACTTGTTCCTGTTCGTCTCCACTGCCCGCCAGAAGGCGGTGACTTCCTCTGTCATGGTCATGTTGCACTTCACCACCAACACCCTGTCTTCGGGAACGCCTTGCTGCCGCAGGAACTGTTGTGCACGCGAGCGCGTCTGCGCGTACAGGGAGTTGAAGTTGGGCACCAACATGAGGATGCCGCCAAGCTCATCAAACGGCAGTCGCGCAGCCGCATCGATGCTGTCTCTCTCAATGTCCAGCTCCAAGGCCAGCAGCGTGGTGCGGATGTGGTCAAACACGCTGGCGCCCACGGCCTGCTGGTGCGGGTAGATGTTGGGGGCGCTGGTGCCCGCCTGCTGCTGGTCGACCGGGGACGTGGGAATCACCTGCAGGTCATGAATCGGCTCCGTGAATTTGCCAGCAAAGCCGTGCTGCTCGGGGGTACTGCCGTGCATGGCTCCGACGGCCGTGTCGAGGTCGGGGTCGTCGCCAATGTGCGGCGGTGAGAGCGCGCCCACGGCCGTGTCGTCATTGAGGTCGGGGTCCTCCTCGTCCACGGCAATGTCGCTGGCGCGGAACAGCACGCCGCACGGGTTCATGACGAAGATGGCTGTGTCGCTGCTGACGCTCTTCATGGTCGCCTCATCAAGCTCGTTCGCGTCGGCAACGACGGGCATGTCAATCATCTCGGCATTGAAGCGAAGCAGGGCCTCGATGGTGGCGCGGTTCATATGCGCACGCCCCTCAAGCGTCTTTCTTGCAACTTGACGCAGGCGGTTGACTGCGTCGGTGATGTCTGCGCGCTTGCTCGTGCTCTGCTCAAAGGCCGCAATGGTGTCGTCCGCAATGAACGTCACGAAACAGTACATCATCTGCATCTCCTCGATGGAGCTGCTTGGGTTGCGCATGTCAATGTTCTCCAGAAAGTGCGGCTGCAAGATTGGTGGGAGCTGCTCCTTGACACAGCGCAGCGCCACGAACTGCAGTGGCAGGTCTTGGCCATCGTCATCGCTCGCTCTGGCCGTGCCATTTGACGTACTCGTGGTGGATGTGACCCGAGCACCACCGCCACTCGTGGCAGCAGCAGCGGCGGCGGCGGAGCTGCGGCGTCGCTTGGAGGAGGATGCCGCCACCGACGACGATGAAGATGCCGCTGACAACGAGGAGGAGGAGGAGGAGGCTCGTGCCTTCGATGCTGATGCTGGTGCTGGTATGGTCTGCGATGCAGTTCGTGGCGACTTCTTCTTGTCTGCAGATGATGAGCGTCGCTGCGTAGAGGAACTGCTCGCTTTTCGGGGTGTGCTGTCCGTGTCGCGGGGGCGGCTTGCATCGGCTGGCTTGCTCTTCTTGTTGCTGGCGCTACCTCTCGGCTGCTTGGCTTGTGGCTTTGGTGAGGCTGAGGGGGAGCTCCGCTTGCCGTCCTTCGGGTTTGCGCCTGTAGGGGCATCTTCCTTCTTGTCCTTCTTGTCCTTCTTGTCCTTCTTGTCCTTGGTGTCCTTCTTGCCTTTCCTGCTCTTGTTGGCGTTGGGCGCCGAGCCACCTGCAGCCTTTCGTGTGGATGCAGGCCTGGAGGAGCTGGAGGACGAGGAACTCGACGAGGAAGCGGCCGATGACGTTGACCCTTGTGTTGAAGACGACTCGGAGCCCGCACGCGCACCAGACTGGCCGTGCTTCCTAACTCTTCTGGCTTTCTTGGCTGGCGGCTCGGCATCGCCAGCAGTGGCAGGGTGAGATGCGGACGTGGGTGCGGACGTGGATGTTGGTTGGAGGGGCACTGGCGCTTGCTGCGTGGTAGCCGCCCAGGTTGTCCGCTGCAGCATTGCGGGCAATGTGGTCTGCGTGGTGCTTCGCGGCATTCCTGCGGCCGTTGCCGGCTGCTGCTGCTGCTGTTGCTGCTGAACCAAAGGAAACAGTGGCTGCTGCATTGAGGGAAGCAGGAACGGGATGTGTGGGACCAGGCTGGGTGTGCCGTGCATGGCTGCGTTGCCGTTGGTTGGCCCAGCTGCGGACAGCTGCTGCTGCTGTCCTGATGCGGACGAGGCTTGATTTGCTTGGGCGTCCTTGAGGTCGGACATCGCGAGGGGTGGGAGCGGTGGTGAGATGGGGAGAGAGAAGGAGGAGAGGAAGGGTGCTTTGGGAAAAAAATGCTCACTTATCAAGCAGTGGCACAGCAGTGTTTGATGTGACAAGTGCAGAAGTGCGTGGCTGCAACCACACACAACAACAAAGCACAAAGCACAAGGGGCTGGAGAGGGTCGTCGAGTTGCGCCAGCCAGTGGTCGTCGAGAACAACACACAAAGCGGCGAATTGTGCCCCTTGGTTTCACCACAGTTTGTGGTGTCGCAAATGCGCATCTCAACACGGCTGTTGTTTGCTTGCCTGCAAGCAGCTCGCTCCACCGCTGCTGTTGTGCTTCGCGACCTCGCCAACCTCTACACCCACAACCAACCGAACACAACAGCCAACCACCCAAACACCCAAACACCCAAACACGCAATCTACCCACCCAGCGCCTCCCTGCGCTTCAAGCCCTCACTCAATGGCCTGCTCCTTAACAGGAGCAAGAAGCGGCAGCGATGAACGGCGAACAGCTGTGGTGCTGGTGGCCGTGGTGCCTGCTGGTGGGTTTGTCACAGTTGCAGCAGGCTACGTTGTAGGCTCCCTCCTGCTCTTCCTGGCCATCCTCCCAGCATCACCAATCGCAAGCGCAGCTTCTGCCGCAGCACAATGCGCAGGCAGGCCTGCCTTCTCCCCGTGTACATGGAGATCGTGCGTGCGCGGCCTGTGCATGCCGGATGACACCTGCGCCCCTGTTGGGCCCGCCCCAGTGAACGATCTCTGCCACACCGCGTCGGCCGGCTTCGGCTTCTGCTCTTCAACAGCCATCTGCGTCACCAGCGACTATGAATCAACACTGCAATACCTCCCTGCCACGCTGCACACAACCTGGCCTCGCCAAGACCTGCTCTCCATCCAGGAGCTGCTCTCCTCGGCCACACACTCTCCGCAACCGCCTTCAGCAGCGGCACCATGCACACCCGGGGCCTCCTCCTCGACCTCCACGGGACCAAAAGAGGATCGCTTCGCCGCCTTGAAGCGGCGCAAGAGGCTCCCAATGGCGGTGACGAACCCATCAGTCTTTGTTCCCGGAAATCGCCTCACCCTTCGACCCACCACCATCATCATCTCAGACCCCGACGCCCTCTTTCCTTCGTCTTCGTCTTCGTTTCCGTCCTCTTCGTCTTCGTCTTCATCACTTTCGTCTGCTTCTTCTTCCACCACCGTGTCGCTGGCAATCGGCGACGTTCCCTTGGCTTACGTTGGACAGCGCCAGCGCCATCAGCTCGCAAGCACCCTTGCCAAGCTTCCACCTTCCAGCTCTGCCAATGCCAAGAATGAAAGCAATAGCAACACCGCGCAGGTGCAACTCGTGGACCCTGCCGTGCGCATCCTTCAGACGTCGCAAGATCATGTCCGCCTGGCATTCAGCCTCGTCGTTGCGCCCGCGCTCCTCGCACTCACAAACAGCACCTCGCTGCCCGCCGTGGTCCTATGCGATCCTACGTCCGACACAACGTGCCTGCGAGCAACATGTGCGCCAGCATTCCAATTGCCACGCGCACGTCCCGTATCATCATCATCTCGGCGCGTGGACTGCTCGCTCACGGTGCAAAGCGGCGCGCCCCCATGCACACCACATGCTATTGTCGGCACGGCCACGACAACCGCCTTTACGCCGTTTTCTGCGCACTGGGCGCTTCACCTCCCGTCTCCGTCGTACACAGCCACCACCACCACCACGTCGACCAGCCCCACAGCATCACCTCGTATTGCTGGTGTGCATCTCAACGTCACCGTGGACGTGACACCGCTACAGCTCTGGTGCGCGCAGTCTCAGGACATCCGGGCTGCCCTCCTCCATCCAGAAGCGGTACTTGGATCCACCGCCAGCGCCACTGCACCGCACCCATCTGTTGTTGCCGTGACGCAACGCAAACTAGAAGCAGGAGGAGGCAGAGGCAGCATAACTGTTCGCCTCAATCTGTCACGTACAGGCGTATTGGCCCTCACTGGAGGTGGCGCTGTCCTCGTGCGTGTGCACGCATCAGCTGGCTGTTGGGGCGCGTCACCTGTTGTTGCCCAGGCAGCGTCCGCCTTTCGCGCCTTCTTTGGTGTTGCTGCATGGACAGACTTGACGCCGCAGCAACGCAGGCGCCGTGTCATGAGCGACCTCCCTCCCCCTCTGCAAAATATCACAGGCACAACAGACGCTGACGTGTGCTCGCACACCGCAACCGCCATGCTGTCATCTGCAACACCAGCTGTTACCCTGTACCTCCACCTTGAGCGGTGGCGGTCACATCAACAACGTGTGCAGTTCGTCACCATTGACACCAACGTGTCATCCCTTTCCCCCGCAACACCACCATCGCCGCTCTCCATCGCTCATGTGACCCTTCTCGATATCCTGTCTCATGAAGCAGCAGCAGCACCCAGACCAAATGCTGGTTCAGCTTCACCAACACTGGTACAGCTTGGCGGCGCAGCAGCGCGTTCCGCTCCGCTGTTTGTCGCACGCCAACAGACTCAGCCACTGGTTCCACTGCACTTTCACGCGCATGTGCTGGGGTCACCATACGTCCAGTCCATCAGCAGCATCACGGGGAGCAGCGATCCACCCATCCTTCTCGCTGTGCGAGTTCACATCTGGAGCGAGGCAGACGGTGCATCGTGTTTTGTTGCCTTTGATCATGTGCAGTCGCAGTGGCACATTATCCTCTCCAACAGCACAAACAGAGATGATGCTGCTCCTGCTGTTCACGATGATGATGCTGCTGCTGTTGATGCTGATGCTGATGATGATGATGATGATGATGATGATGATGATAATGATGATGATGATGAAGCTGTTGGTGATGACGATGATGATGACGATGACTCGTCGCTGCCAATCCTGAGGCGTCATCTCGACACTGCCGGTGCTGCAGCGATTCCGCTCTCCTGTGCCATCACAGCATGCCGCGACACCAGCGCGCATGTGGCGTCGGCCCCACCATGCAACACGACTTACACAGACGAAACGCAGTCGTGTTTGCAGTTGCGCATTCCAGTCGGGTTCGGGGGCACCATCAACGCCACCATCCGTGTGCGCAACTCATCCACTGTCGCTGCATCTGTGTTGCAAGGTGACCTGGCACGAGCCGCCGTCACCGTACGCGTTGTCCAGCCCGTGCACGTCGCCATCCGCACACCCTCACCCAGCCCTCTCAATGCCACCGGTGGTGGCATGGACGCTGCAAGCAACCACACCACTGGGACAGCAGCAGCAGTCGCAGCAGCACACCCGCTACTGCTTGAGACGTTGGATTTTCAGCAAATGGTGTGGCCGGTGATCCCCGTGTGGGTGGAAGCCACTTTTCCGCAGCTCAGCAGCAGCCACCACAGGAGCAACAACAACAACAACAACAGCAGCAGCAGCAACGACAGCAGCAACGACAGCAGCAAAGATGACAGCAACAGCAACGACGGCAGCAAAGACACTGACACAGAGAGCTTCCGTGCAGTACCCTGTGATATCACGGAAGACGTGTTGCCGTTATTGCGCATATTTCCAGCAACCAGCGCCACCATCACGATGCAAACAGGGGCCGATGCGGTGCTAGCACTCAATGACTCTTTCCTGCAGCACTCGGGAACGCCTGAGGTGCAGGTGACATTGCCCTCCGCACCGAATGATTCCCAATCACAGTCACTTGCCGCTCTGCATCTGCAACTACGCCCATCCCAGCCCCAAGTACCAAGTACAATCACTGCCGTTGCCTTTCCAGCACTGGGCACGACGCAAGCCGCACTTCGCGCCTGCTTGCTTCCGGGAGCATCGTCATCCAACGGTGAATGCCCCCTCGAGGACAATCAGCAGCAGCAACAGCAGCCGCGAACAGCCGCGCTGGCCACCATCGCAGCCGGCCTTACGACGGCAACATCAACGCTCGTGCCTCGCATGCAGTATGTTGTGTTTGTGGTGGCGCGTGTCGGTGCTGAGCCGGCGCGCTTGCTGCCGTCTCATCGTCTTCGCTTGACCTTGACTGTGTCCGACGCAGTGGAGCCCATGCCCCATTTGGTGCTGGCACCCTCCACGTCCAGCGTGGGTCTTCCGCTTGCCGTCGCCATCGCCCCTGAGGCTTCACCACAACCACCACCACCACCACCACCTGCAGATGTTGGTGCCACCGTCCGCGCGCGCTTGCTCGTGCACTTGACCAGCACCACCAGCGATCCCGCGCAGACACTGCTGCTGACAGCTCGCACCATCTATGTACAAACAGCAAGCGCAGACAGCAGCAGCAGCAGCAGCAGCAGCGGTGCCGCCAATTTCACAACACCGACGACCACCCCCATCAACACAAATGCAACCGCATCCACACAAGCAGCCACACCAACGCCTCCGTTGCGTCAGCACTTGACACTCGAGTCATCCGCGCGCACAATCGGAGTTGCACCACCTGCGCTGGCACGAGACGTTGTGCGGGTGGAAGAGGAGACGTGCTTGTTTGCAAACGCCACGCTTCCCAACATCAACTCCGTCATTATCACCGCAGTAAACGGCGCTTGCGCTGATGCAGTGCACGTTGAGCTTGAGGGCAGTGGTGCAAACGGCGAGGGTTTGGACACGACCGACAACCCCCAGCAATTCCCCTCCGTCATGGACCACGTCGCCTCATCCACAGCCGCGAGGACCATCACGCCAACAACGGTTGCCCGCGTTTCTGCGATGCTGCCGTGTGCAGGCGACATCACCATGACATTTGAGCTGCACACAGCTGAAGGCGTGCATACGGCTTCCGCTCGTCTTGACAGCGTGTACACGCAAGTCGTGCCGCACTTGTCAGTGTCCTGGGCATTGCCCTTGCCACCACACATCCCGCTCAGCCAGCTGAACCCTCCTCTCGCTCAGCAACAGCAGCAGCAGCAGCAGCAGCAGCAGCAGCCATTGTTTCAGTGGCCTGTGGTTGCAGTTCCTTCTTCACAACCGCAGGCATCCCCGGACATGCGGTTACGACCAGTGCTCTTGCGTGTGGTCGCGTGCGTCGTTGCCGCAAGCAACACCAGCGCCAATGACGATTGCTTGCTTGCGGGCAATTGTGACCCACAACAGCAAGGGTGCGTTGCGCTGCCCATGTCCAACTTGGATGTGTCCGTTGCATCCAGCGTTCTCTCCATCACGTCCACGCCGCTCTCGCAGGATACTGCAACGACAGCACCCGGCACCGCCTCTGTTCCTGCATCGACGCCATCGCCCCAGTCAACATTACCTGACGCGCTCCTCCTCACCCACACTGGTGGCTCATTTCAGCAGCAACAGTCAGTTGTGATCAGTGTTCGCATGACAGGCGCAAGCTCGTCCGCTGTTGTCGCTGATGTGCAGGTCGTTCCTGAGCCATCCACCATTGCAGGACCAACGACACTTGTGCACCTGCAGCCTCACTTGGGTGACACTACACTTGCCTTTGTCGCTGACGTTGGAGAGCCAAAGCCGCTTCCTCTGCCCTTGGCGACGGCTATGTTCTCGGACGGCACGCACATCACTGCCAGCATCCGCGCCCTGCAGCCCGCACTTGGGCTGGCGCTGCGCCCATACAGGGCAGAGGATCAGATGTACTTGCTGGTCTCAAGCGACACGCAAACGGCAGCCCTGCGCTTGCCGCCGCCAATCTCTGCACACTTGTACCCGATCATCACCATTGCTGTTGTCGCTGCGAACGAGATGGTGTCGCCCACACCGCCCAGTGCTGTTGGCACGTTTGCCCGCCTGCCACTTGCCGTATTTGCACCCCATCGCCTCTTTCGTCCCACGTGGCTTCTCCCATCCACCTCCATTCCCTTGTCCCCTGGAACAACTGCAGCTGAAGAAATGAACGGCAGCGGTGACGGCACTGATGTGCCTGCTGGCGGCGGTGGGGGCGGGGGCAATCTCGGTCCCTGGCCTGCATCTGCCGCCGTCTTGTCGTCTTCAACAACACCGCCCCCAGCAGCAACCACAACAGCAACGACAACAGCAACGACAGCGCCACCACCGACAACAACAGCACCAGTACCACCACCACCGCCACCGTCGACGTTAGGCATGGTGTTGGCGTTTGAACAGCCAAGCCTGAGTGCGGCTGTCGGCGCAGTGTACTCGGCTTCCGTAGCCTTCGACCCAGCGTCACTTCAACTTGTTGAAGTGTTTGTACCACCTGGCAGCATGCAACCCGTACGCCATACGTGGTGGTGCGATGCGACGGGTGGTGAGGCTGAGGGCATACCGCTCATATATCGGTCAAGGAACATGACACAGTGCAACGCAGCTGGGCGAGTGGAAGCCGTGCTCGTGCTTGCTGCTGCCCCTCGCGCGGGGCTGGTTCGGGTTCTGGGACTTGCATTCGCCAGTGCTGAACAGCCACAACCATCACCATCAGAATTCACTGCAGTCTCCGCGCATGTATCTGTGGACATTGTGCGCTCACAACCACTGGATTCAGACAACAATACCAGCAGCAGCATGAGTGCGTCTGCCTTATTTCGACAGGACCTCGTGTCGACTTCGCTGCCAATTCGACTGGTGTCGTCCTCAGCTGCGAATCCACAGCAACAAACCCACCACCAGCAGCCGCATCAACGACAAAGGCGTGCAGTATCGCAAGCTGGCGACAGCGGGCAAACAATGACACGGTGCGTGCTGGACGTGAACGAGCACACCGGTAGCAACAGTAGTAGCAGCAGCAGCACAACCAGCACCACGGGCTCTGGTCGCAGCTGTCGGCGTGACGGTGCAGATGTTGCAGCGTTTCTTTGCTGGCACTTCCATCCATCGTTTTTTGCTGGCATGTGCGGGTTACGGCTACCGCTGGTGCAGGGGCGAACCGAGGCCCCATCACTGGCCGTGGTCGCTGATGTGACAGACGCCATCACACAAGACCGCCCGCTCATCGTGGGCGCTGAGCTCATTGCGCTCGCGCCACAGGCATCATCACGGCGCAGGCGTGCTCTGCCAGCTGTTGAGCACAGCTGTGGACGCGGAATGTACACGCACGCGCTGGTCATAACGACGACGCTGTCGATTGACACCGCCGCGAGCGCTGGTGATGGCGTGGCTGTCTTTGCCGTGCTGTCAACCTCAGAAACGTACGCTGCCATGTTGACTGCGTCCACCGTGAGCGGGTTTGTCACCTTCACCCGATCAGGGATCGTTGCACGCGCGCGTGCTGTGTCTTTGGCGTCAGCGTCGCTGGTGCAGACACGGGCGCAGTTGCAGCACTTTGCTGTGTGCGTGCGCCTGCGGACGGACACTGCTCCCTTACCGCTGAGCACGGCAGCGTTTGCTGTCATCGACGATGCACTTGAGGACAGAGTAACGTGGGCGAGCGTCCCACTCGGTGAACGCGGGGACGAACGAGTCCAGCTCCCCACCCGGTCTTCTGCTGTGGGTGTGCAAGTTGTGCCACCAGAGCAGCTGCTGCCGTTGGCTGCAGGCACCCTCGCGCCCGCTTTCCTGCGCTCGTTCAGCACGCGTGACAGCACGACGGGCCCGTCGATTGCACGTCACACGTCTTCGCTGGTTGTGCAGCGCATTGACACGACGTTGCTGCTGCAGAACGCGTCAACGTCAACTGTGAATCCGTTTTCTGTTGGGCAGCCGTATGTTGTCTTATCTCCAAACACGGCCCTCACCGCAACGCCAGAGCTTGCTGCCTCTTCTGCTGTCGCTGCTACAATCCGTGCATTTGGCATGTGGGCGAAGGTGACTGTTCCAGTAGTGCAAAGCACCCAAGTCCCAGCTATGCCTTCATATTCAGCCCGCATTCTTCCTGTCCTTGGGGGCATGGCCACAGCGTCGAGCGGGGCGTTACAGCTGGCGCTGTTCGGTGGATCTTGCACCTCCTTGAACCGCTCGCGTTGGGATACGGCTGCGCGGCTCACGCTGGACGTCGAAACAAAGCGGGTTGTGTTTCACGAGGCAGTGCGCATTCATGACGGCCGCACCCCAGCCGTTGGAGCAAGCCTGTTTGATGCTATCTTGCAAGACACGTCAGCCCCAACACGTCACGTCTCACAGACGCTCGTCTTTCATCTGGCGTCTGCGCCACATGTGGGAACGCTGTGGTTTCACATTGCCGTCACCATTGGCCCAGACTTTGGAGCTGGGCTGTGGCTGGATGGGTACCGCGTTGCACATGCGCCTTCCTTATTGTCGGGCGTTTGCGCACACCCCCTGCTTCCGCCGCTGCACAACGTCGGTGGCAGCCTGTGTGGTGCATCGCCACCACCAGCAGTGCCAGCTCCACCACACGTGCCAGCAGCAACAGCACCGCACTTGCTTGTTGCCTCTGCAGAGACGCTGCGCGTGTATGGTGATGAGACCGGGTCTGATGGTGCCCCGGGCTCAGACACATCGGGGCCACGCCTCGCTTGGTGTGGGGCTTGCGGCCAACGCAACTGGACGTCGTTTCAGCGAGTGCCTCTGACCTTACAGCTGGCGCGTGAGCGTGCTGGGAACATGTCGTGCGACGCCCTCGACGCTGTTGCTGAACTGGTGCTGTTGAGCATCAGCAACAGCACCAGCGTTCCCGTGCACAGCCTTGCACTGACGAATCTCACGTGCAGCCACGTCGCCAACAATGTGTCGCTGTCCACTGGTACGGCTCAAGGCATGTGCTTGGGTGGGCGCAAGTCTGTGAGTGAGTGAGTGAGTGAGTGAGTGAGTGGGTGGGTGAGAGAGAGTGCGTGTGTGTGTGTGTGTGTGTGTGTGTGTGTGTGTGAGTGAGTGAGTGAGTGTGTCCAGTGCTCGTGTGTAGATGAGAGCATGTGCTCGTAAATGTGCGCGTGCATAATTTTCGCCCGCATGTATGATAGATAACCAGAAAAAAAAAGCGCGCCATGTCTGTCATCATTACTGTTCTTTGTGTTTTGTTTGTGGTATCTTTGTGGTGTGCTGTGATCTTGGAACGGATGCCTGCATGTACTTGCGCTGTGGCTAATAATTTGTCTCTTTGTATGTTCTTGTGCGTGCGCGCTACAGTGTTGTACGTTGTACTCGAGGCCTCTGAGGACCCGCAGGAGAGAGGAAACATGACATCGCCCTCCATCAGCGCGATCTCGAATTTACCGGATGGACTGTGTTTGGCGCTGAGCCTTCATCAGGTGCGTGCCAACCCAACACGTTGACTAGCATTCATTCCTGTCACGTGTCACGCCCTTTCGAGTGTGTGGTAGTCGAGAATGCCCCTCATCATCCATGATGCTGTGTCGTATTGTGTCGCGCCTTCCTGCCACAACACCAGGCATCGACTGTGAGGTGTGCTGGCTTCGCAGGACCCACGAGACCACTGCACTTTTCGTCCACGACATCAACGATGACTGCGTCATCCAGATCCACGGCATTCCCAAGCTCCGCAGGGGAGACCACTTTTACTTGGGTGACCTTGGTGCTGATTCTGGCACTGATCATTGCACTGATTGTGGCCATTATACTTCTGGCAAGGTGTGTTTGTATGTATGTGTGTGGGTGTGTGTGGGTGTGTGTGTGTGTCGGGTGTCCGTGCGCGGATATGTGTGGTTGTGTGTGGGTGTGCGGATATGTGTGGTTGTGTGTGTGGTGACTACGCGCGCAGCCGGTTTTGTGAGTGAGTACCATGAGCGAGGGAGTGTGTGGGTGTGTGCTGGAACATAATCGTTTCTCACGGACACGTACACGCCACCCATGGCCCATCAAACTCGTTCACGTCGATGGTGCAGGCGAAAGAAGCGGGAGGTGTTGATTGTGCCCAGTGACATGGGATGGACCAAGTCTGACCCGGCCTTCCTGCACCAATCCCACTTCTCAGCGTCGTCGCCGCCCTCACACAGCCACCATTATCGTCGCTACACCACCACCCATGACCATAACAGTGGCACCCTCGCCTTGTCCCCGTCTCTGCACCCCCAGCAGTCGGCCACAAGCACAAGCCATGTGGTGCTGACACGCCCTGACGGCTCCACTGTGGCCCTTGTAGCCAGTCCCGTGCTGCTGCGCGAGGCACCGAACAAGAACAGGGTGGGCAGTGCCTTGGTTGGCAGTGGCGAAGCTGTCGATGATGGGTTCGACAATACGCCACCCGCCCTCGTTGCGTTTGGGGATCCAAAACTTGGTTCGTTCATCGGTGTGAGCGTGGACAGTGCACAGCGCCGCCGCCACCGAAGCAAGCTCCTTCCATACGAACACGACGTCAACGGTGGTGATAACAGCAGTGAACACGCGAGCTTTGAGCTGTTACCTGGCACGCCGGATGACCGTCAACATGCTCGCAATCACCGTCCGCTCCACCATCCACAACGCCGACAACGCCAGCCACATAGTCAGCGGCAAAGTGCTCATCCTCGTTATGCTTCAACCCATTTCTAGATTTGTGACGTTATTCCTTTCGCATGCATGCGCCCCCTTTGATTGTTCAAAATAATAATAATGAAAAAAAAATAACCCAGTCAGTCTTGCCAGTTGTAGCGGAAACACACGTCACGCACCACCACAGGTGCGCCGCCTTACACTTGGATGTACAGTTGTTTTGTATTCGCGGTCAGACCTTGAACTCAATGCGTGGTTGTAAGCATGCATGTCGTTTTTTGAAGCGAACCTTGCCGAAGCGTTTCACTTTTTTTTTTTTTTTTTGGCTTGTTGTTCGTTTCCTTGGGTCGTGCCAGGCACGAAGCCACGCATGACACGCAGAGGAGGGGAAGCAGACACACAAAGGCAACACGAACAGACAGCGAGCAGCGACGGTGTTCATGGCAAGGCGCAAACAACGACCTTGATGGCGGCAAACAAAAAGCATGCATGATCTAGGAAGCGAACAGACACGGGCAAGCACGAGGGCAGACAGGCACAGACAGACACAAACAAGCATGGGACGAAGAGCCAATGGTTTGCTTGCGTGGCCTTGCCTCATGCCAGGACGCACGAACAACACCACAAGCCCTCTTTCTCCCAACACAGCACGAACACGAAAAGAGTCGTCACACGAAGAAACAACGCCACACCGCAGACGCACAGGCAGGCAGACAGAGAGAGACATGGAGCGAGCGAGCGAGAGAAAGACTCAGGCAGACAGCTCCTGCACGTATTCGAAGAAGGCAAGGTCGGACGCAAGCAGACCCTGCGAGTAGACAAAGCGGCTGGAGAGGTACGAGGCAAAGAGCGTCTTCAGGTACACGGCCGGCAGGCGGGACGTGAGCACGTCCAGTGGACGGAACTCTTGAAGCGTCTTGGGAATCGCCCGCTTCAGAATCTGTGGTTCCGAGTGCCGGGAATAGAGGGGGAGCGAGATGGATTTAAGCAGATGTTGCGGTGCGGCAACGAGGGACAGTGTGAGCGAGAGTGGAGGTTTGGATGGGCTGTGAAAGTAGCAGGCAACACGGGTTTCGGCTGCACGACGGCAACAACAACAACAACAACAACGACAACTTAAACAACAACAACGACAACTTAAACAACAACGACAACGACAACAACAACAACAACAACAACACGGAAATGTGCAGGCAGCCCTTACGTTGGTCTTGAGTGTCTGGTTTGTCCATATGCGCTCGCTGGCGAGAATGGCGTCACGCAGGTGCACAATCTTGTTGCTGAGCAGATCGCTGATGATGGACATGGGCTCGTTGGTGGCCTTGTGGTGCTCCCACATGCACTTGAACTCAAGCTTGGCGTTGTTGTTGATGATGCCCTGCACCTCCTTGACATACGTCTGGTACAGCTCTGGCACAACATCGCCAGCAATTGCCATGTGCTCCACAAACTCCTCATCTGAGAATGGCAAAGAGCAATGGGAAAGCGAAGACAAGAGAGGGGAGAGCGGAGAGAGGAGAAGAGGCAAGGGAAAGGAAGCAAGAAGAACGGTGAGCAATAGCAGAGCGGCGGGGCTGGCTGGTGTCCGTTCCACGGAAAAGCATTCGAGTGATGGGGACAAAACCGATTTCCAAAGTCAAAGCGCGCGCGTACCTGTGAGGCAGAGGGCGGCAAGCACCTCGAGGCTGGAGGACGTCACGCCACCCTTGTTGGCGCTGCACCCAGGGACATTGGATGGGTGGATTTGTGTGGGTGCGTGTGCGAGGGAACGAGAAAAGCGTCAACGTGAGCGTTCGCGTGTGTGCTGAGAAGAGAACACAAGAGAAAAATAATTCAGGCGTGGGGTTGGGTTGCTGCGCATCATTGCAAAGCGTGTTGCAAGCACAACCACACACACACACACACACACACACACACACACACACACACACACGCACCTTGCGTCCTTGATGAGGATGACACCTGCCTCCTCAATCTTGAGGCGCGCCTCCTGCGTGAAGAACAGGTTGGCGCCCTCAACAATGTACTTGACACGCAGGCGACCGTCGTTGTCGTACAGGAACGCCTTGTAGTTCTCCGTGCTGACAGCCGCAGGGCGGCCACCACAGGGCACGAAAAAGTCCACGTGCACCATGGGGTTGAGGTGGAACACGTTGCGGAAGTCAAGGCCGCTCGGCACGGTGGAACCGTCCGGCAGCGGGCAGTCTGACTCCTCCACGTTGACAAAGAAGCCCTGCGGCGAGAACTTGTCCTTGTTGAAGTTGCTGACCATGATGCGGCGCGTGGCGAGCGAGGTGAGCTCCTCCTTGTCCAGGCCCTCCGGGTCGTAGGCAACGCCGCTGCCGTCGACGATGGCCACCGTCTTCTCCAGGCCCATCTTGATCTCGTTGGAGCCAAGGTCACCATCGGGCCCGCCAGTCTGCATCTTGGTGCACTTCTTTGGGTCGAGGCCAAGCTGCTCCTGGATGCCCTCCACGTACGCGCGCACGGAGTTTGTGGTCATGCCATACGTGTCGTGCGGAATGCCGCCGAGAGACGTGCCCTTGCCCGTGGTAAACGCCTTCCAGTACTTGTACCCGCGCTTGCGGGCGTGAAGGCTCGCCCTGCATACGCGAGAACAAGCGAACATAACAGTTGTGTGTGTGTGTGTGTGTGTTTTGTGGGCATGAAGTTGTGAGGACAAGAACAGTCGAGGAACGCGAATGCAAAGGAACAACACACGTGCAAGCACACGCACCCACCCACACATCATCGTCACCTTCACCACCACTATCATCATCATCATCATCATCATCATCATCATCATCATCATCATCATCACCCACACATTACACACCACCACGACCGTGTTCAGAAACGCACCAGTCCATAAAGTCAGCTGTGCCCTCGTCTGGGCCGAGGAAGAGAAGCTCCTCCTTGCCGTAGTGGTCGATCATGTACTGCTCGTCGGGGATCATGCAGTCGAGTACGGCGTCGACAAACTTGCGGAAGGCAACCTGGCCCTTGTCCTGGTACTTCCAGCCCAGCAGGATGACGCCCTTGGATCCGCCCTCGGGAATGTCCTTGTTTTTGCGCTGCTGCGTGCTCGCCAGGTTGAAGCACTCGTCAAAGAGCGCAGAGACGTTGTTGTTGTACGCCTGCGGGTAGCGGGAACGCACCAGGCGAATGCCACCACGCGCAACGTCGCGGAAGCGCACGTGGAACCCTCGGAACTCGGCGCCCACAATCATAAAGACGCCAAAGGGGCGCTCTGTGAAGGCGTTGGAGGAGAGGATGGACGGCTCCAGGCGGAAGGAAATGGCGCGCTTGGAGGGCTTGTAGTAGTTGGTCTTGAGGATGGACGTGTTGAAGGTGACAAAGGCCTCAAACACGGTGCGCTCGCCCTCTGTCTTGCACGACTCGCGCACGAGCTGCAGCAGGCGCTCCTTGCCGCTCTCACGCTCCATCGTGCCTGCAAGCAAGGGAGGAAACGAGGCAGGACAAAGGCAGGAACGAAGGGCGAGGAATGAACAAGGTGAGAAAGTGATGAGCCTTTCTTGGGACGACAGATGCACGCACACGATGTCAAACATCACACAAACAGACAATCGAATCACACCAGCGCACAAGACAGACAGCTGAGCACGACACGCAGGCAGGGGCACCAGGAGAACAACGGACCGCCAGTCTCGGGGTTGGACGAGCTGATGACGCGGGAGCGACGGTGCATGAAGCTTGGCATGTGGCGCGCAGCAAAGTCGTCGTACAGCACGGAGATGAGCTGCTTGTTGGTGATGACGGCATCCACGATGAAGCCCTCGTTGAAGGCGTGCATACGGAAGGCGGCGCGAAGGCGGGAGAGCGCAGCCAGCGCTTCGGACGACTGCAGGGCAAGGGCAACCTCGCGGTGGTCCCGTTCGCCGCGGTTGAGGAAGTGGAAGGCAAACTTGGCGGCGCAGTAAGCGTACGTCGTCTCCTGCACGCTGAGCTTGCCGCTGGTGAGCAGCGGGGTGAAGCTGTGCTTGGGCAGGACAAAGTGCAGGGAGGCGTCCTGCTCCATGTGGGCCATGCGGGAGACGAGCTTGGAGGAGGGCTCGACCGTCGACCCGTCCGGCTGCCGAATCACGCTCAGCGGGTTCAGGTAGAAGGCAAACACAATCTGCCAGCGTCAACGCGTGCGCGCGTAAGCGTGTGTGTGTGTGTGAGTGTGTGTGAGTGTGTGTGTGTGTATTTGTGTGTGTGCGCGCGCGGGTGAGTGAGAGAGTGCGTGAGTGTGAAAGACGAGTGTGTGAGCTTGAGTGTGTGGATTGGGAGAAAAAAGCATGCATGATACGCATAGGGAGGGGCGCGGAACCGTCAAATCAGACCGGTACAGAGCCACAATGCCAAACAAACGGCACACACATGCTTATGTGTATGTTCTCACACGCTCAGCACACAAGCAAGCATGCACACGCGACGTACGATGCCGTTGCTGAACATCTCGACGTATTTGGTGTGAGCAAACATGTAGTAGTGGCGGTACACGGCAGGCATACTAGAACACAAAGCAGGTGGCGACGGTGATCGGACAGTCTCAAGATGAGTCATTGAATGGCAAAAGCACCGAGAAATAGCACGACCGTGTGAGCGTACATGTGCATGTACATGTGTGTGTGTGTGTGTGAGTGCTCGTGTGTGCATGTGTAAATTTGCATTCACCACAAGTGTTCCTGTGTGTGAGACTCACCCGACGAAGAAGCTGTGGGTGTCGCCAATGAAGTGGGAGACGAGGAGCAGGGTTGCCTTGTGACCCTCGTCCTCAAAGTCCTGGAAGAACTGGAACACGGGCTCCCCCGTCTCCACGGTCTTGCGCACAACCTCCTGCAGGGGAGATGGAACATGCATGCAAGCAAGCAACAGCCGTGGTGAGTCGGGTTGTTGCAAAGGAATGAAGAAATAAGCTGCACCAGTAGACGAAGACCAACCACACACACACATGCACACACACGCACACATATGCACACACACATGCACACACACACAAGCACACGCACACACACACACGTGCACGAATGGGCGTGATGAGCGCGGACGTACTTGGTAGGCGGCTTTGGTCTTGGCGTCGACATCGGAGAGGAAGCCCTTGTCTGCAAGCTCCTCAATGCGCGTCTCGTCGTCTGCGGGCTTTGGGTTGACAAACTCGCACGCCTGCAGCAGGTACAGGCGAAGGTGGGCGCCGCCAGCCTCCTCCACAGCAGCCCTAACACGCACGAGGGAGACGAAGAAGCAAAGGAGTGGAGAGGGCGAGAGAAACAAAACCAATACAAGGGGTGCATCCATCAGTTGTGGTGGTGAGCAAGAAGTCACGAGGTTTAACTGTGAACAATCCGCTGTGGCAAACAACACCGGTCAGTGATGATACGGGTGCATGCATGCAAGCTCGCACGTTGCAGCCGTGTTCTCTTACTTGGATCGGAACGCCTGTAGGCGGAAAGGGCGGTTGGCGAGGATGGTGGAGCCTGGGGTTGGGGAGCCTGGGGAGTGGGGCTGCGCCGTGGACAGGGAGCGCACGAGGGTGCGGCGGGCCTGTGTTTGCACATCAGCATGCTCGTCCTCATCGTTGTGGAAACGAGAAAAGAACCTGCGCCACATCGTTGGTGTGTGTATTTGTATGTATGAGTGAGTGAGTGAGTGAGTCCAGTGAGTGAGTGAGTGAGTGAGTAGGAGTGAGTATGTATGTTAACATGAGTGTGTGAACGGGCATGTGTGCGTATTGCAACGTGTATGAGGGTGTTCAGTCGAAAAACAGTGGCAGTTTGTGCGCGCGCGCATTTCTCGACAGGGCATTTCTCGACAGGGCAAGCGTACGTCTGCTCAATGTAGTTCTCAACGCGGTGCACGGGCGTGGACTGCGCGGGGCCGAGGCTGTAGCGCATCATGCCGCTGTCCTTTCCGGAGACAGAGGATGGCACGACATACAGGGCAGAGGTCTCCGTCTCGTGCCGGATTTCCATGTCAAAGGTGCTGCCAGAGGCGGCCTGTCCGGCAAGCTCAGCCTGAAAGAAAACAACAACAACAACAACAACAACAGCCGAGGCAGCGATCGAGTGAGTGAGTGAGTGAGTGAGTGAAGGGGTCGGGGGAAGCCTCGTGGCAACCACGCATACACACGCCGCAAGAGGCAAGACACAAGCGATCTCTCTCTCTCTCTCTGTGCGTCTGTGTCTGTGTCTGCGTCTGTGGATCACACACACACACACACGCACACACACACACACACACGCACGCATAACACATAAACGAGATTGCACTGTGCGTCTCGAACATGTGACATCACATCTCTCCTTGCCCCCGTTGGGATCACCGGGGCTGGTGGACATACCGCAAGGGACTCGACATGCTTGAGGATGTCCTCGGCGCTGACAATCTCAAAGTAGCGGGCTGGAAGACCAATCTCGGACATCCAAAAGTGGACCTGATCAGGCACATGCGTGGAGACGATGCATGCATGCGCGCAATCGGACAGCCGCACGTGCGGGTGAGTGACGTGACAGCGTGAATTGAGCGACAGCGTGCAGTGGACACATCATCATGGGCTGGCGTTGGCCTCAAAGAGAAGAGGCAGGGAGGGGGAGGTAAAAGCTCCGTGCCACTCACAAGCACAAGTGCTGACATGCACACATACACATGCACACATGCAGACAAAGGGCCCACGAGCACACACACACACACACACACACACACACACACACACACACACACACACACACACACACACACACACACACAAGAGCATGCACATGCACACATGCACATGCACACATGCACACAAACACACACACATAAACGCACCAGCTCCTTGACTTTGTCTGGGTTGAGAAAGTCCAGGGCTCGGCCGGCCTTGCTGGCAAGCAGCTCCAGCACTTGTTGCTCTGTGGCAGCAGACATCGTGGAGGGTGGTCAGGTGATGACGGATGGATGGATGTTGATGGTGGGGATCTGAGCGAACACGAGCCAGCCAGTCGCGGGGAAAATGGCTGATGCGATTGCTGCTGTCAGCTGTGGGGGTTTCTTGCGATTGCGACATCTGCACTGCTGAGTGGTACGGGCCCAAGCATCAGCTGTCAACTTTCTGCACAAGAAAAAAAATGTTGTGCCCGTTTCATCAGTGAATGATTCCATGCACGGTTATGGCTTCGCCACAATCAGCAAAGGAAAAAAAAAATCCCTGGAAAGGAAGGAGCGCCACCCCAAACAACACGACAGCAAGACAAAGGCTTGTCTCCGCCCACCCATCGCCATCGCCATCGCCGACAAAGGAGAGAGGACGCACAAGCAAAGCCAAAGCGGGCGGAGCGAAGAGAGAGCAGGACAGACAGAGAGCTGGCAACAGGGCATCAATCACACCCTCTATCGACACGCCCTTCTCGCAGCCAGCCACAGGGTTTTTGCTTTTTGCTTTTTGCCTGCAGGCACTGAAGAGGACAAACAACACACGACACAGCTCCACCAAGACAGCAGCAGCCGAAGCAGCCGAAGCAGCCGAAGCAGCCAAAGCAGCGAGCGAAGCAGCGAGAGAACGAGCGGCAGGTGCACAAGCACGCAACGACAGGGCCACCAGCAATTATGCGCGAGCACCGGGGTTGCTCGCTGCATGGACATGGATCCCGACCCTTATCAGACCAATGCACGCCAACACAACGACGATCGCGCACACCCACGATGCCAACGGTAACACGGGTTAGGCCAATGACACACGAATGGCAGGCACGTGCCTGCAGGCATCGGCGGGCACTCACACCAACCTTCACGGCATTCATCTTCATCTTCATCCTCGCCGCATGCAACCTGGCCTCCACACCAGGTCAGCTGTCGTGTGCACAGTGTGATTGTGCAGGGGTGATGGTGTTTGTGCTTGTGTTTGTGTATGTTTGTGTGTGTGTGTGTGTGCGCGCACGCGTGATTGTGTGGCTGGAGCAATTGTTGTGGCTGTGCGTCGTCGCATGTGGGCCAATGATGCATTGAGCGGGGGGTGTCTCCTCATTGACTTGGCTTGCTGGCCAATTTTGATTCAGCCACAACACTCACGCACATACGTGTCCTGTACGCCTCACAATACACCCCCGCCACACACACAAACAACACATAACACACACACAACACACACACACACACACACACACTCACACACACACACACACACACACACACACACACACGAAACCCACACACACACACTCACACACACACGAAACACAACCCACAACCCCCCCCCCCTCCCCAAACACACACATACACTCACAACACACTGCACGCTAATAGTGGCGCTTGGGTACGAGTGCAGCCAGTGCCCGGATGGCCGGTTCGTGAGCCAGGAGGCTTGCGCCGCTGCCCTTCAATCCAACGAGACAACCATCGTCGTGGACGCAACCAGCAGCACGGCAACCATCACCGGCAACTGGGCCATTGTCGCTTCACCACAGCCGTCAAGTCCAGAGCCGCCATCAAACTTCCTTGGCGCCTTCTACTACAGCGACGATGATATGGGCAAAGGCACAAAAGTCATCACCATGGTCGTCAGCGTCTTTGCCCCAGGCACTTACAGCGTGGCTCTCCTGCACCCGCTCAGCATCGTCGCTGCTTCTCGCGTGCCCGTCAGAATCACCTCCGACGCAAGCACAGAGACGACCCTCGTCTACGTCGACCAGCGCGAGCAGACAAGCGCAAACTTCACAGACGGCGTCGGTGGAACACTCCTCTCTGCCAGCTTGAGGGCCACGTCCTACATCAACGTCACCGTCTCCACAGAGCGCACGCACCTGGACAACGACAACTTCTTCGGCAGCTTTGTCTTTGTCGACGGCGTCTTCATCCAGGCAGCTACCGTGGACGCAGACTGCTCCCCGTGCAGCACCATCTGCTCCACCACCCAGTTTGTGGCCGCGCCCTGCACCTCAAGCTCCGACCGCGTCTGCAGCAACATCACAGACTGCAGCCTTGACATGGGCTTGTACCAGAAGGTGCCGCCAACCCTCACCTCAGATGCCGCGTGCGCAAACGTGTCCCAGTGTGATCCGGGCTTCTTCGTCAGCAAGGAGGCTACCCGCACCACTGACATCGACTGTGAACCCGTCACAGCGTGCAACACCACAAACACATACGAAGCCGTTGTCGCCACCCCAACTTCCAACACCATGTGCAGACCTTACTGCCACGCCTGTGCGCCAAACTCGGAAACACGCTACCCTTGTGATGACACTGGCGCCTCCGGTGCGCTGCTTGCCAACGCCCTCACGCAGACGCTCGCATCCCAGGACAACACGCCGCCGCTGCCAGAGCTGGCCAACACCGCAAGCGCCACCTTCGACATCACTGGTCCCTGGGTTACCATCACCCAGAACAACGTGCAGTACCTCAGCGACAACAACGACAACAAGGGCTTGGTAGAGCTGCGCATCAACGTCACCGTGCGCCCTGGCCTCTACAAGGTCTCCTTCTCGTACGCAGCCATGTCTGTCACGGCATCCACCCGCGTGCCTGTTTCCTTCACCCACGCCACAGGTAACTTCTCCACCCGCGTGGACCAGTCCACCATCGACCCATCCGGCTTCCACACCCTCGGCACCTTCTACATCGACGACGCCGGTGCCTCCTTCCTCATCGAGAACAGGGACAGCTCAAACCTTGGCATCGACTTTGGCAGCGCAGTCACCTTTCGCGAGCTTCGCCTTGATGCCGCCAAGCTGCCCATCATCTGCCAGCCGTGCACCCAGCCGCCCACCTGCGGCGAAGGCCAGTTCATCGGGCCAGAATGCGTGTGTACGGCCTTCTCGTCCTGCTCTAGCGCCCAGTACGAGGTTGCCGCACCAACCCTGACCACAGACCGCCAGTGCGCAAACCTCACGACGTGCGCATCGGGCGAGTACGAGCACACACCTCCAACACCAACTTCAGACAGAGACTGTCGGCCAGTCTTGCCGGGCTGCCACGACCTCACCATACAGACAATGGCACCAACACCAACCTCGGACCGCCAGTGCGAGAGTTTGTGTGCCCAGTGCCCAGATGGCTCCTATCGTACCCAGCAGTGTGAGCTCTACATTGCCGCAGATGCCATCAATGCAACCACAACGCTGGACATTGACAGCACCCACATCACGGCTGTGGGACCGTGGGTGCGCGTCAACGAACAGGCGGGTGACTTTGCCTCCTACCTCACCGACAATGACGAGAACAAGGGCGACGTGTACCTCAACGCATCCGCTATGCTCGACCCTGGCGTGTATGACGTTGAAATCGCCTACAAGGCACAGACAAACGCAGCAACCAACGTCCCCATAACCATCACCACACCTTTTCGCACCATCAGCCTGGAAATCGACCAGCGCACCATCCCCTCCTCAGGCTGGTACACCCTCAGCACCATCACTGCAGATGCGCTCGTTCCCATCACGTTCCTCATCGAGAACAGGGACACGCACATCAACACGGAAAACTTCTTCGGCAACGAAGTCACATTCGCAGCCCTCCGCTTCGTCGCAAGGCACAAGCAACGCACGTGCTCCCCTTGCTCTGAGTGCAAGCCTGGCTTCCTCGTCGATCAGGAGTGCACACCCACATCCGACACAACCTGTAGAGGTGAGAGCCGCACGAGCTTGCATGCGAACACGCACATGCAAACACATGCACACACATGCATGTACAACTCATGAAGAGATGGGAATGTTCGAGTTTTCATTGCTAAATCATGTTCCAAGTACACCTGTCGATGTTACAACTCCTTGCGTCATTACATTCTCATCACATGCTAACGCTCACACACACAATTATTCACAGTCGGATACAACGCATCGGCTCTTGTCCACGTGAGCACAAGCATCGGCGCCTTCCACGTCACCGTAGACAATGGCATCATTCCAACAAGCCCAGAAAATCACACAGATGTGCACAGCAAACTCACAGGAACGCTCCGATATGGCTTCCCAGCGGGCCTGGCGCCTGGCGGGAGCACGTCTGTTTCTGTTGAGCTTGACCAGGGCGAGGGCGCTGGCGCGATGGCTGCGTCGCTGTCTGCATCGCTGGGGTACTCGCGCGGGCGCGCTGGAGCGAGCAGCGTTGAGGCGCAGCTGCTGACCGGGGAGGTGTGGCCGGACTCGCGGAGGGTGTACGTTGCGGTGCAGGTGCGGGATGCGCGCGGGAGCACGCGGACGAGCAGCACGACGGTGCATGTGCGGCTTGTTGGCGGGGCGACGCTGCAGCAGGAGGTTGACACGAGCATGCCGAGTGGAACGTGCAGCACGGACAGCGGGACGGGCGCGTGCATTGCGTCTGTGGATGTGCCTGAGGCGTGGGTGACTGACGCTGCGGCGGTTGATGCGAGCCAGAACGGCGGCGGGGACGACGGCAGCGGCGCGCTGAATGTGAGCGTGGAGTATGCGCTGACGGCTGGGTTCCAGGACGCGGGGCGCGTGTCTGAGGTGCTGCTGGTGCGGCCCGAGAGCGCGTTTGACCCGAGCGGAAGCAACGGCTTGCTGATTGCGCGGGTGCCGCAGGCATCACTGAAGAGCGGCGACGAGTTTGAGGTGTCGCTCAGTGTGCAGGCGGAGCGTGCGATCAACACGTTCCGCACGAGCCTGTTTGTTGGGCCCGAGCTTGAGCTTGTGCGGTTTGAGGTTGACGAGGATGTGTGGACGGGCCAGTACGGCGTGACGGCTGATGGGCGGAACGCGACTGGGAGCTACATTCTGAGGGACCCGAAGACAGCGTCGCAGGATGCACAAACGGAGGAGCAGGCGGTTGCGACGGTTGTGGTGCGGGTACGGGACGGCGCGGGGACGAGCGCTGCAGTGCAGCCGCTTGTGTCTGTGCGGGCTGTGTACCTGAGCGACATTGACCGGCGGCCGCTGCTTGTTGGCGGCGGAGCGGAGCCTGCAACTGTGATTGTGCGGCGAGGCGGGGCTTACGGGTCTACCGACGGGCTTGCGCGTGACGGCAACGGATTTGTTGTTGTGGAGCCTGAGCGAGTGGTTGGGCTTGTTGCGAGCGCGGCGCGCGCTGAGCTTGTGAACACGGCTGTGCTGAGCGGGAGCGAGGAGACGTCTGCGCTCTCTGTGCGTGCTGTGAGCAGCTGGCGGCCTGGGCAGTTTGCAGTTGTGTCTGCGGGGAGCCCTGGGCTGGCGTGCATGAGCCTGAACACGAGCGTGTTGCTGGCGGATGCTGACTGCGGGCGCGTGCGCGTGACGGGCGCCGAGAGCGGCGGGTCGCCGTCTGTGGGCGTGAGCGTTGAGTATGGCGGGCAGTCCGCGCGGGTGTGGGTGCGCGTGTGGTACCCTGAGGAGCCGGTGCAGGTAGTGCTTGACCGGGACGTTGTGCGGCGGGTGGCGCGGTGGCAGCGCGACGCTGGGCACGATGCGTCTGACGGGTGCGTGTCGCTGGGGACAAGCCAGTTCCAGCGGGCGCGCGTGAGCGTTGTTGGGCGGTTCCGGAGCGGGGACGCTGTGAGCGCAGCGCTGAGCCTGGGCGGGCTGCTGGGGCAGTCGCAGCTTGCGGTTGTGAACCAGAGCGTGGCACGGGTTGACCCTGTTGTGTCTGGGCACGTGCAGGGCGTTGGCGCTGGGCAGACGGTGGTGCGCGTATTGAGCGCCGCGGTGAGCGGGTCCCGCGTTATCGGCGAGGCGATGCTTGAGGCGCAGGACAGCTACGTTGGGATTGTTGGGCTGGACGTTGTTGTTGCGAGCGCGGTGCGCGTGAGCGGCGGCATGAGCGAGCTTGGCAATGACCCTGGGTCGAGCGCGGAGGCGACTGTTGTGGTTGAGCGGGACGTGCTTGACTTTGAGGGCCAGCGGGCGTCTGTGTTTGTGAGCGCTGTGTTTGAGGACCTGACGCGGATGGAGCTTGGGGTTGGACGGGAGGTTCGGCTGCGGACGCTTGCGCCGGGGACGGTGCGGGTTGTCGGCAACGGGGCTGAGCCCGGGGTGATTGTTGTGCCTGGGCGCGCGGTGGATGGAAGCGGGGAGTTGATTGAAGCGATTTGGCAGGGCGGCAACGCGAACGCGGAGTGCGGCGTGCTTGAGGTTGTGCGCGGGCGCGGGTATGTGAGCGTTGCACTGCCACCTGCTGATGCAGCGCGGGCGACGGTGTCTGCGAGCCGGCTGACGTTTGCGGGGGACGCGGCTGAGACTGCTGGCGTTGCGACGAGCGCGGAGCTGACGGTTGAGCTGGAGTACCCTGACCGTGTTGTGACGGCGACGCAGGACAACCGGACGCTGATTGACCTGAGCGGGGCGATGGGCCTGGTTTCGCTTGAGGAAGGCGGAAGCACGGGGCTGCGGCTTGTGGCCAACGCGAGCAAGGCCGGGGAGCTTGGCGCCGGGTCTGTTGCGGTGATCCGGGTGAGCTTCATGCACGAGAACGTGAGCGCGACTGTGTCTGTGACGGTTGTTGCGGGCGTTGGTGTGCGGGCGGACGCGAACCCGTACCCTGCGTACAGCGGGTCGAGCGGGGTGTCTGTTCGGACGCTGCACCGGCTTGCTGGGACGACGCCGGCGGTGTACGAGGCGCTTGTGGTGCGGGCGTATCTTGCGCTGAGCAACGGACAGGAGATTGAGGTGTCGACGGCGGGCGCGCTTGCTGTGCGACAGGAGTCGGCTCAGCTGTTTGAGGGCGGGGCGCTTGTGTCGGACGTGAGCGGACAGGCTGTTGTTGACATCTCGCGCGTGACGGGCAGCGGCAGCGGCACCGCACAGAACCACGTGAGCGTGGGGACGAGCAGTGCTGGGCGCGCTGTGCTGAACGGTACGAACACAAGCGGATCGCTTGTTGTGCAGCTGCGGCTGGAGTACGCGAGCAGCGTGACATCTGCGTCGCAGGACCTTGTGGTGAATGTGACGCGGGAAGCTGCGGTTGTGGCTGCGCTGGAGGGCGTTAGTGTTGCAGCTGGGAGCACGCTGCGCGGGAGCGTTGGCGCGGAGACGACGGTGGACATGCGAGCTGTGCTTGACAGCGGGCGTGTGCTGCCGACGCTGTTCTCTGGGGGCCAGGCGCTGTATCCCGGGCTTGTTGTGTTTTCGAGCAGCGACCTGAGCGGCGCGAGCATCGGAGCGCGGAGCGGGGTAGTTCGCCTGGAAGGCAACGCGGCAGATGTTGTGACGCTGACGGCGACTGTTGACGATGGGCGCAGCGGCGGGAGTGCGGTGCGCGGGACGGTTGGTGTTGCGTGCAACCTTGATCCTGAGGTTGGGGATGCGGACATTGGGTCTGCGAGCGGGGTTGCCGTGGGCCCACTGAGGGTGGGCGAGACGGTGACGGTTCCCGTGCGCGTGAACACTGGCGGCGCAGCGCTTGGGGCGTACGAGCTTGCGGTGATGTTTGATACGACGGTGCTTGAGTTTGTGTCTGCGACGGCGAGTGTGAACGGGCTGTTTGACCGGAACGCGCAGACGGCGGGGCGAGTTGAGTTTGGCGGGACAGTGTCTGGGGACAGTGTGTCTGGCAGCGCGCTTGAGGTTGCTGAGCTTGAGTTCCGTGTTGTGGGTGCCGGGTCGAGCGTGCTGAGTGGGACTGTTGTGACGCTGAGCCAGCCTGATGTGAGCGGGACGGCGATTGGCAGCGGGACTGAGCGTGCGTTTATTGCTGGCCGCGTACCGTTTGAGGCGACGAGCACGCGCCGCCGCCGTAGCAGCAGCAGCGGCAGCGGCAGCGGCAGCGGGAAGCAGGGCGCTTTGCTTGGGGCAACTGCGGTTGACGAGGCCGTTGAAGCGCACGCGGAAGCGCGGCGACGGATGCGCCGCAACACGGGGGCACCTCAGCGGGGCGACACGAACGGCGACGGCGTGTTTGGCGTGAGCGATGTGCGGTTTGTGCTGACGTACCTTGTTGAGAAGGAGCTCAAGTTTGTGTCTGCGCGTGGGCAGGCTGTGCTTGCGCTGCATGCGAGCAAGCCGTACACGTACGATGAGCTTGACGCGGACCTGAACACGGAGCGGAACGAGGACGATGCGGCGTTCCTGAACCGGGTCAACTTTGGGCTGCTGCGGTTTGTGACGGGTGTTGGTGTGCAGGCTGTGAGCAGCGGCACGGCGTGTGAGCTTGAGGTGAGCGCTGTGCTCCTGGATAAGGGGGACGGCGCAGCGTCTGGCGCTGATACGCGGGTGTACTTTGACCTTGAGGGCGGCAGCGTGCCTGCTGGCTTGACAAGCGGGGAGAGCAGCCTTGGGCTTGAGCTGAGCACGAGCGCGTCTGTGTTCAGTGAGGGCCGGTTTGTGACGCTGAGCAAAGGGTCTGGCACGCTGAGCGGAGCGATTGTTGAGGCTGAGCTTGTGAATGCGAGCGTGGGGCTGTGGCGCGTGAGCGTGCCTGTATCGACGGTTCGCACGGACATTGGGCTGAGCGTGATCCAGGTGACGCGCGACACGCCGGAAGCGCTGTTTGTGTTTATGGGCGGACGGACGCAGGGCTCCAAGGCGTACACGGGCCAGGTGAGTGTTACGCTTGGCGCGTTTGGCGGGGACGATGTGGCTGTGAAGACACCTGTGCCACAAGGGTACAACCCGCTGCAGACGTTTGACAACACGGTTGACAGCGTGAGCTGCAAGCTTGCGAGTGGACTGTGTGCTGTGGTTCCGTGTCCTGGCGGGCAGGTGCTGGATGGCGTTTGCACGCTGTCGAACAACACGTATTGCCGGGACTATGCGATTGCCGCGGGCAGCGCTGTGATAGTCGGGGACGTTGTTCCCCAGGGCAGCGGCGCGTTTGCGGTTGTGGGCGACGGCGCGGGTGCGGGCGGCAACGCTACGATGCCGACGACGAGCGAGGACGAATGGCTGGCAAGCGTTGGCCAGAGTGGCGGGGTTGTGCTTTCGCTGGACAGCCCTGTGACGAGTGGCGACACGGACGCGAGCGGGACGTTTCGATATGGCTTCCCAGCGGGCCTGGCGCCTGGCGGGAGCACGTCTGTTTCTGTTGAGCTTGACCAGGGCGAGGGCGCTGGCGCGATGGCTGCGTCGCTGTCTGCATCGCTGGGGTACTCGCGCGGGCGCGCTGGAGCGAGCAGCGTTGAGGCGCAGCTGCTGACCGGGGAGGTGTGGCCGGACTCGCGGAGGGTGTACGTTGCGGTGCAGGTGCGGGATGCGCGCGGGAGCACGCGGACGAGCAGCACGACGGTGCATGTGCGGCTTGTTGGCGGGGCGACGCTGCAGCAGGAGGTTGACACGAGCATGCCGAGTGGAACGTGCAGCACGGACAGCGGGACGGGCGCGTGCATTGCGTCTGTGGATGTGCCTGAGGCGTGGGTGACTGACGCTGCGGCGGTTGATGCGAGCCAGAACGGCGGCGGGGACGACGGCAGCGGCGCGCTGAATGTGAGCGTGGAGTATGCGCTGACGGCTGGGTTCCAGGACGCGGGGCGCGTGTCTGAGGTGCTGCTGGTGCGGCCCGAGAGCGCGTTTGACCCGAGCGGAAGCAACGGCTTGCTGATTGCGCGGGTGCCGCAGGCATCACTGAAGAGCGGCGACGAGTTTGAGGTGTCACTCAGTGTGCAGGCGGAGCGTGCGATCAACACGTTCCGCACGAGCCTGTTTGTTGGGCCCGAGCTTGAGCTTGTGCGGTTTGAGGTTGACGAGGATGTGTGGACGGGCCAGTACGGCGTGACGGCTGATGGGCGGAACGCGACTGGGAGCTACATTCTGAGGGACCCGAAGACAGCGTCGCAGGATGCACAAACGGAGGAGCAGGCGGTTGCGACGGTTGTGGTGCGGGTACGGGACGGCGCGGGGACGAGCGCTGCAGTGCAGCCGCTTGTGTCTGTGCGGGCTGTGTACCTGAGCGACATTGACCGGCGGCCGCTGCTTGTTGGCGGCGGAGCGGAGCCTGCAACTGTGATTGTGCGGCGAGGCGGGGCTTACGGGTCTACCGACGGGCTTGCGCGTGACGGCAACGGATTTGTTGTTGTGGAGCCTGAGCGAGTGGTTGGGCTTGTTGCGAGCGCGGCGCGCGCTGAGCTTGTGAACACGGCTGTGCTGAGCGGGAGCGAGGAGACGTCTGCGCTCTCTGTGCGTGCTGTGAGCAGCTGGCGGCCTGGGCAGTTTGCAGTTGTGTCTGCGGGGAGCCCTGGGCTGGCGTGCATGAGCCTGAACACGAGCGTGTTGCTGGCGGATGCTGACTGCGGGCGCGTGCGCGTGACGGGCGCCGAGAGCGGCGGGTCGCCGTCTGTGGGCGTGAGCGTTGAGTATGGCGGGCAGTCCGCGCGGGTGTGGGTGCGCGTGTGGTACCCTGAGGAGCCGGTGCAGGTAGTGCTTGACCGGGACGTTGTGCGGCGGGTGGCGCGGTGGCAGCGCGACGCTGGGCACGATGCGTCTGACGGGTGCGTGTCGCTGGGGACAAGCCAGTTCCAGCGGGCGCGCGTGAGCGTTGTTGGGCGGTTCCGGAGCGGGGACGCTGTGAGCGCAGCGCTGAGCCTGGGCGGGCTGCTGGGGCAGTCGCAGCTTGCGGTTGTGAACCAGAGCGTGGCACGGGTTGACCCTGTTGTGTCTGGGCACGTGCAGGGCGTTGGCGCTGGGCAGACGGTGGTGCGCGTATTGAGCGCCGCGGTGAGCGGGTCCCGCGTTATCGGCGAGGCGATGCTTGAGGCGCAGGACAGCTACGTTGGGATTGTTGGGCTGGACGTTGTTGTTGCGAGCGCGGTGCGCGTGAGCGGCGGCATGAGCGAGCTTGGCAATGACCCTGGGTCGAGCGCGGAGGCGACTGTTGTGGTTGAGCGGGACGTGCTTGACTTTGAGGGCCAGCGGGCGTCTGTGTTTGTGAGCGCTGTGTTTGAGGACCTGACGCGGATGGAGCTTGGGGTTGGACGGGAGGTTCGGCTGCGGACGCTTGCGCGCGGGGACGGTGCGGGTTGTCGGCAACGGGGCTGAGCCCGGGGTGAT